CCCCCATGCAGACCACCACCGCGCCCGCTGCCACTGAGGCTGCCGAGGGCCCTGCCAAGTATGGCGTCTTCCGGCTTGCCTACGACGTGGCTAATGTGCGGGGTTTTGCCAATGGAAGTGTGGGGCGTGCACATGGACAGTTGCAATTTGGCAAATGGGTAGCGGCAACCGCTATGTGTTATCAGCTGCGCTGCCTCGGCCGCAAAATCTTTGCAGTCCAACTCTTGAAATGACACCTCGCATCTCGTTTTGGCGCCATTTTAGTGTGCTGACACATGTGCGCCGATTGCTTCTCCAGGAGGACCCAGCGCTCACGCGCAACTGGAAGAAGACGGTGCACATTGCCGTGACTGGCGCGTCTGGGCAGATCAGCAACCACCTGCTTTTCATGCTGGCGTCTGGTGAGAATGTCTGTGAAGAGGGGTGAATGGAAGGGGCTTCAGTTGTGATCACTGACTGCGTACACATTGTGCATGAGTCCGACAGCCCTACCGTACGTGCCGTGCGCTGCGCTCAAAACCAGGCGAGGTGTTTGGCCGTGACCAGCCTGTGGCGCTGCAGCTCTTGGGCAGCCAGCGCTCGCGTGAGGCGCTGGAGGGCGTGGCCATGGAGCTGGAGGACTCACTTTACCCTCTGCTGCGCGAGGTGTGTGCAATTTTGTCGGGCTGTGAAGCAACGAGGCGGCCGGCCATCGTTATGCTGTGCGCATGGGTGTGTGCAGTTCGCAGTGGTGAAGGGACTCCCTGGTTGCTGTGCCTCACATCATGGTCATCAGCCTGTTCCCCCTGTCCTAGCCTCTTGAGCATGCACACACTCTTCCGCTCCATCCCTGCTCTCCAACCCCCAGGTCAGCATCGGCATCGACCCGCGCGAGATCTTCAAGGGTGCGGACTATGCGCTGATGGTGGGCGCCCAGCCGCGTGGCCCCGGCATGGAGCGCGCCGACCTGCTGGACCTGAACGGCCGCATCTTCAAGGACCAGGGCCAGGCGCTCAACGACGTGGCGAGCCCTGACGTGAAGGTGCTGGTGGTGGGGAACCCCTGCAACACCAACGCCCTCATCGCCATGGAGAACGCCCCCCGGATTCCCCGCAAGAACTTCCACGCTCTCACACGCCTCGACGAGAACAGGTGATCAGCACTTGCAGCAGAACGCTGGCCTTAGACTGCTGGTACTGCAAGTCTGAGAGTGACAAATCTTAGTATTGCGCAAATGGCACCTGGGTGGCCCTGCAAGCTGCTCCGCTGCCCGTGGCCCCGCCCATTAACCAAAGTGCCGGGCATCGACTCTTATTGGTTCTCGCCAGGGCCAAGTGCCAGCTGGCGCTGAAGAGCGGCAAGTTCTACACCAACGTCAACCGCGTTGCGGTGAGCGGCGTGGCGTGGCTTGCAAGCGATGGAGGTTGTAAATAGTGATGTGCAGAATCTGTGGTTTAGCAGCAGGCAGCATATGATGTTGTGCGTCAGGGGCTGCGTTGTTTGATGCCTGCTGCCCTTCTTCCGTCTTCCCGCGCCCCCTTGCAGATTTGGGGCAACCACAGCACCACCCAGGTGCCTGACTTTGTAAACGCGCGCATCGGTGGCCGCCCCGCCATCGACGTCATCGGCGACATGAAGTGGTTCAGGTCTGCACTGCGTGGACCCAAGGGAACATGCCCATTCCTTGTGCAGTCTCCATTGCCCAGCAGCGCAGCAGAGCGTACAGCCCCGCAACGGACCTTGATCTGCTTGCCAGGAGCGCTGCCGCCTTGAGGTGCTTACCGCAGGCGCGTGCAGTCCCCGTGCTCGCCACCTCCTCTCCAACCCGCACTAACTTCCAACCACGCACAACGTATGCCTCAGGAACGAGTTCACCCCTACGGTGGCCCAGCGCGGTGGGGCTCTTATCAAGAAGTGGGGCCGCTCGTCCGCAGCATCAACCGCTGTCAGCGTCGCCGATGCGATCCGTGCGCTGGTGACCCCCACCGCGCCCGGTGACTGCTTCTCCTCGGGCGTAATCACGGACGGCAACCCCTACGGCATCCCCGACGGCCTCATCTTCTCCATGCCCTGCCGCTCCACTGGCGATGGCAACTACGAGATCTGCGACGACTTCATCATTGACGACTGGCTGCGCTCCAAGATCAACGCCAGCGTGGACGAGCTTGTCAAGGAGAAGGAGTGCGTTGGCCACCTCATCGGCACCCCCAACCCCGTCTGCCGCATCACCAAGGACGATGAGGTGGGCAATGTGACTGTGGGGGGAGGGTACGTGTGCTTCACCCATGTTTTTGCTCAAAGCGCCGGGCCGTTGAGCGCTGGATGGTTGGCGCCGTGCATGACGCCCACTGTGACCACAGTTGCAGCCTGTCATGCCGTCCTCTCTACCGCGGTCTGCAGGACACCTGGCTCCCGGGCGAGAACTGAGCGAGTCGCGTCGCAAGGCTGCACGTGCCCAGCCAGACAGTCATGGGCGGGGCAGCCGTCCACACTCTTTTGCAGGGCAAGTCTGCATCTTCGTCAACCTGTGACACTGCACGGCGGCAGGGAGCTGGGGAAACAGCCACACCAGGGCAACGTGGCGTAGCACCCATCACCCTGCAGGGGCAACCGCGCGGCAGCCGCACTCGGCGCGGCCATACCCTGGACCGACTCAGCTACCCTTCATCCGCCATATCCTTGGCGTTGTGGGTGCACCCATATTGTGTGCCTTGTTGTGGTGCCCTGGCCACTTGCTGATGTATGCCGAACACCCGGCCACCTGCAGGAGCGCTCCAGCGCGGCGTGCAGCCCGTGCTGGCGGCGCAGGCGCTTCGTGCCAACGCCCTGGCACCTGCAGGTTTTGCTGAGAGGACGTCGTTGAGCCTGGTTTGCCTCATATTGCAGAACCCAATGAGGGAGAGACGGCACTGGTTCGAGTGTGGAGCGCACCTTGCGCCGTTTGTTCGCTCATTTAGTGCCGCGGGTGCGCTTCACCTGGTGGCCTGGCTTAACTTGCGATGCTTAGACGCTGTAATACACCGATCGTGAATGGATTTTTGTGGCGAGCCCATCGACAGGTCACGCAGAGCACCAATCTAGCGGATGTTTTCAGAAACCAAGCGTGAGAGAATGCATGCTGAGGCTGGCGCATGAAACGGCAGCGTGCGAGGCTGTTGCACAGGCCACATGCACATCACTGGGGATGTGCGACAGCAGTACACGACACCGCCTTGTGAATGCTGCTTCACTCCCACTGCGTCACGCCCTGCCTGGTGGGGTAGCCCGCCGGCCCCGCTCCTTGATCAAGGTGAGTGTCTCTTGGGTTTCGTGTCTCCTCACTGGCACAATATCGTCAGCAATGCGCACAGAAATTGAATCTTATTAGGGAATCGGGTTGCTGGCACAGCGCACATGTGTAAGGTGCTAGGGGTTCGGTTTCGGTGAAGGCTGGCAGCATGGTATTCAAGGTTTGTATGGTGGCACTATCTTAAAACATGATTGAATTTGAAAATATTTTAAAAAAATAACATATAATAATTAGTATATTTTTTGTGTATCTCGGTTCAATGTGGTCGAGGGTATGGCAGCTCACTTGTTAGTCCGAGCTACCAGCTCTTGGCATGGTTGAATCAGGTGCCGGTTGAGCAAGCACCGCACGCGGTAGCAGCGCCCTGTGCACAGATCAAAAACGCCTGTCATTGGATAAGGTCGGAGGTGTATCAATGCATGAGCCCATCTCCTGCCTCACCTGGGCGCAAGAAAAGCAGCCACCCCCATAGGTCAGCAACCCCCGATACTGCGAGGCATTTAGTTTGCTTGCTTGACCCGTTCGTCGTCCCCACGTGGACGCTTTCTGCTGCTGGTCAGCGACATACCAAACAATTGAGCGGCCTTATTGTCACACTGCCCCTCGTCGTGGCTTGGTTGATTTCGCGCTATGTGTGACACGAAACTGGGTCTTGTATGCCACAGCACCCGTTGCATGACGCCCCTCCAGTGACAGTGCTGCTGATGCTGGTTACTTTCATCCTAGCGCCCCTGTGAATGCGCACCCGGAGCGCAAGGCCTGTGATAGCTTGCCAGTCTGCTGACACCCTCCTCCAGTGCGGCAAGCCACCCCCAACGCTCCGCCAAGCGGTACCCTTCACTACTTGCTTCTGGTCTGGTGGCTGTGGCTGGCGGCGGGCTCAACTAGAGCCGCCCGCCTGGTGGACGGAAAGCCGCGTCGCCGATCCGTCAGCTGGGCCCACTGTGCGCGCACACAGGGTTGCGGGCACGCAGCAACACCAACACACGTGGCTTTCAGCGACCGGAGCAGCGCAATGGCGCGCAATATTGTGCCGGAGGTAGGCCTCGAACCTTTTTGTTTTGTGTAGATAACAGCAGGTTTGTTATGTCGGCGCCAACTCCTCCGCCGCCCCCCTGCATCGCTGCCCCAAATAATTACTGAATTACTTGGCCGATGGATTCCGTGACATCAGCGTCCAAGCGATGAAAATGGGATCGGATCCGCCAACATCTTCAGGCATCAGGCATACAACATAGGTTCGTGACATTTGAATGTGGGTCATGCAGAGCCATTTTGCTGCTCTGCCCTGCCGAAGTGTTATGGCTGGCCAGTGTCACGAACTGGTGGCAGCATTGCAGATTTGCAGTGCCGTCCACGGCCGACATGAAAACTTGCTAGCGTACAGTGCGTGGTTGACACCATCGTTGTTGTCCTCTCTATTAAATACTTGTTCAAGAGTTTCCAGCTGACAGACGCTCTGCGTGGACCCGGTTGATTGCTTCCAGGGGAACGTCCGCCGGTGTCCGCAGTGCGAAGCAGCGATGATTCTCAGCGGCAGCACATTATGTCTGAGAACGGCGTGTGCTGCGGGAAGGGGGCAGCAACGAAAGGCAGCTCATCGTCAGGGAGCAGCAGCTGAGCAGCGCACCTCTGCAGCCACATGCGGGACTCTGCAGCATGGAATTGGGCGCGCACTACCCATACACACACGGTAAGTGGCTGATATGCAGCCGCACGGGTCTCTTTGTACTGACCACCGGGAGCTCTCGCCAGTCTGTGACGATCGCGTCAATTGTAGCAGCAAAGCTCTCAGATAGCCACCGCAAGCAACCGGCGGCGGATCTTCTGTCACGTCATGGTGAAGCGCCGGCCGCCTTTTGCGCCGCTGCTGCGTGCATCAACGCCGCTCCGTCCTTTGTCATCAGGAACATGCGCGTCCGCGCCACCGAGGAGGGCAGCGAAGGTACCCACTGGTATGATAGGCCTTGTGGTCCAAACAGCTTGGAGGTCAGCTCAGTCCAGGAGCTGGTGGACGTGCTGGTGCGCATTATTCAAGCAGCAGCGCGCACCGAAAGGAGTTGGTTCGCAAGGCAGTGCGCATGCTTGCCTTCCGGCTGTTGAAAACAAACATGCAGATCGACATGTCATGACCCCACATGTTATCTGCTGCTTTGGGTTTCCCGGGTCGTAGCAAGTGCATGACAGCATGAGTGCGAAGCTGCTGTCTGTGACATCCTCAGTCTCCCCTACATGCGCTCTTCCCCTGCCAACCAGGCCACAGACCAGCTGGTCATTGTCGACTTTTATGCCCCCTGGTGTGGTGCGTGCAGGGCCCTGTTCCCCAAGGTGAGCTGCATGGCTCTATCAGAAGAGCCAAGAGCAACGATTGGCACCTGCTATCGTGCTGATAGCTCGCACGTCCCCGTTGAAAGCGTTGAATTTCGAAGAATGCTTCTATGCCCCCTCGCCCCTCTGCCTCCTCCCCGTTTCCACCCAACCCAGATGCACAAGCTGCTGCAGGAGTACCCGGACGTGGTGCTGGTGAAGGTCAACTTTGAGGCCAACCGCGCCATGTGCAAGTCGCTTGGCATCAAGGTGCTGCCCTTCTTCCACTTTTATCACGGTGCCCAGGGCCGCGTCGCGGCGTTCAGCGCGACCGTCAGCAAGCTGCAGCGCCTCAAGGACGCCCTGGAGCTGCACTCTGGGGACATCTGCAGCCTGGAGGAGCCGCCGGGGCTCTCAGAGTTCCCCGACACGCACGCAGAGCACCCAGGGGACGCGACGCTGCTGGGGCGCGACGGGTGGCAGGCTTCGGAACGTGTCGCGGAGGCGGCGGCGGCGTCGTGAGGCGTCTGGTTGGCAGAGGCTGAGGCCACGGCGTGTGTGTGGGCGCAGGCCGCAGATTGACACAGCAGCGGCGCAGGGCGCTGGAAGTGCTCGGCTCTGCTGTTTGCCCACCCGTGCCCCCCTCTGTGGAAGGGATGCGCTTTTTGTTTGACCCGCTTTGAGCCATGTCCCTGGGTAAGCTGGGCGCATCGTCCTGCACACTGCGCAGAGGCTGGCCCGTGCTTTGCTGTACTGCTGTACGCTGGTCAATGGTTGCCAGCAGGCTGCACACTAGTTTGAGCACAGGGTTTGTTTTATCCGCCGCACTCCGGTTGCATGAGAACGCGCAAGCGCCATGCTCGCCTGCAGCAACCGAGCTCGCTGCCAACCAGTCAAGTGCTGGTAACTGTGGCCCGCCGACGTGTGCGCAGCGATATGCGCTTGTGAACGTGACAAGCTGGCTGTTGATGGCGGCGTGGCCGTGGAACCATCAACCACTTACCATTGATTAATGGTGGTGGTGCATGTTGGCCGACCTAGTGGTGATTTCTTTCCTCCCCCCCCCCCCC